GCCCGCGGCCCGGAGGGGCTGCTACGGCGATCGGGCTCGGGCTACGAGGGCAGCACCAGCTGGAAGGCGGCCCTGGAGGGTAAGCGCGGCCGGCCCGCCTGGTCACCTTGGGGCGCGCCCGGGCATCCTCTCACCCAAGGCCCTGGGGTGCCAGCGCGGGTGCCAGCGCGGGAGCCCGCGCCACCTCGGCTGCGAACTCCGCCGGTGACCTTGGGAGCCGCTTCGCGCTGCGCCTGGCCCCGGCGGGAAGGCTCGTGCACGTGCGGCGGGCGGGAGCGCAGCGCCCGTGGCGTCCGTGCCCTTTGCGGGCCGAGCAGGGGCTGCTGGTGCCGGGGCGCGGGCGGGAGCCCGGGGGCTTCTTCTTGCACGATCCGTTCCCCCTGCCCCTCCGACTGCCTCAGGGAGCGGCCGGCCGGCCAGCGGGCAGCAGCCACGGTGGGAATGCATTTCAAGTTTGTCCAGGAAACTCGTGTTGGCTGGAGAGACGCTGGAGGGGACGAGAGGGCTCACCGCCCTCCACTCTCTTTGGGGTACTCTTGGGACCCCGAGTCCAAGGGCAGAGGATGACCTGGAAGCATTAAGTAGGAAGGGGTGTCTTCCTGGAGGGCCTCCTGGAGGAGGTGACTGCTCGGGGGTGTGGAAAGACAGAGGAGGCTGTAGGTGGCTGTGGCTGGCAGCCTGGGTGGGGAACCTTGCCCCTGTCTCAGGGTGGGGTGTGGTGGGGAGGAGGAGCCTGAAGGACCCTGCAGGCCACAGCAAGGATTAGCGGCTGAGGGTCCAGAGGGTGGGACCGCGGTCCAGGCACTGCAGAAGTCGGGCAGCGGTCAGGAGGGGCCTTGGGCCGCATCTGTGCCCAGGCTTCCACCTGCCACCCTGCCCTTGGCCCCGCTGACCGTGGCTGCTGAGCCTGGCTGTAGGCTGGAGGGGAGCCCGGAGTGGGAGAACGACCAGAGACACTCTCTGGGCACCCGTCCTGTCCCCCCATGCGTGGCATCTACCTGTGCTCCAGCCTAGTCTCACCTGTCCTGGCGTGGCTCCCTGCCTGGCTGTGACTCCAGCCACTGGTGTCCCCCGGAGCACCCCCACCCTTGAGAGCCTGTTGTTCTCAGTGATCACCCTCTGGGCCTTGACGTCTGTACAGGGGTCTTGGGACACGGAGTCCGCATCCCGGTGGGGACTTGCCCTGTGCTGGTCCCGGGAGTCTCCTGGGCCCTCCCTGGTGTCCGAGGAGGGGAGCCCGGGTCTAGGGTGGTCCTCTCACGTTGGCCCTGTTACCCTGGGTCCCTACCTTCCCTCACTCTTTCTGCATCACCCGGGCTCTGTGCTAGGCTCTGGGCACGCTCCTGGCCTAACAGGTCCCAGCCCGGGGCTGTGCCAGCCGCTGGGTGCAAAGTGTCTGGGGAACCTGATCCAGACCCTGCCCCCATGTGCCTGGCCACTTTCCACACTCGCCTGAGCCTCAGTTTCCTCCTCTGTGTGGTCAGAGTTCTACCTCTGGGGGGTCATACAGACCAAGGGCCATGTGCGCACTCTGTCATGGTGACCTTTGTCCCAGCTCCCGGGTGTGGAGCCAGGGAACGTGGGTGACTCGCCATCAATTGAAACTGACCTCGAGTCCACTCCCCTCCCCAAGCTGGGATCCATGTGATGACCCAGTGGGTGTGGGATCCAGGGCCATACGGGCCTTGAAACCTCTGCTTGGCCAAGCACCTATCTTGAGAGACAGGGGATACCTTTTTTTGGAAACAGGGTCTTGCTGTGTAGTTCAGGCCGGCCTGGAACTCACAGCGATCCTCCTGCCTCAGCCTCCAAAGTGCTGGGGTCACAGACATGTGCCACCACACTGGGCTTAGACACTTCTCGACTTGGCCCGGCTGAGCCTCCAGGGGCACGGAAGCTATCAGGCACCTGCTCTGTGAGTTTCGTCCTCTTTAATGCTCACCTCAAGTGGGGTTGGTGAGCGCCATCTGTTTTGTAGGGGAGGACATGGCCCGAGGTTCTGTGTCGCTCCGAAGGACACAGCTTGGGTGCTAACACATGAACCGCCCCGCGGGGTTCGCCCCGGCCCTCTGACGTGAGCGCTCTTACCCTTTCCTGTGTGACCAAGGACTTCTGCTCGCCAGGCTCACTGGAGGGAATCGGATTGCGCTCCACTGTGCACTCGGCTCTCTCCCCCACCCCCTCAGACAGCTGCACCTCTGGTGTAGACCGTGCTGCCTCCTCCCAGGTTGGGGACTGCTGTAGCCGAGAGCTGAGCCGAGGCGGGGGCCAGGGCTTGGAGACTTCCCTGGATGGGTGGTGGCCTTAGAAGCAGAAAGGTGGACGAAAGTTCCCATGGCTGGGTCTCTCCTGTGGACTGACTGTTTCCTTCACCCGGGCTCAAGCCAGAGGCGGCCAAGGTGACCCAGAGCGCCAGCTGGCTTCTGGGGACACCGAGGTGATGGAGATTTGGATATTTCTGGCGCTGGGGGTGGGCGTGGGATACAGTGGCCAGGACAACGCAGAAGGGACACAGTGATTCTCTGTTCCTCAGACTATATAGATTTTTCAGTTCTCACCAATTCTGAATTTTTAATGTTGAAAGTTTCTGGATTAGGCAGAAACCCACAACTTCCTGATCAAAACCACAGAGGTGCATTTAGCAAATCCTCTTACGGATTTACGAATTACCAAGCTGCACATCTGATGGTTTCTCCTAGTCAGGATGACGCTGGCCAGGCTCTGCCCCTGACGATGGAGGGACATCAGCCACGGGCCTTTTGGGGCCACCGGCACAAGGATGATGGGAGCTTTGTCTGGGTTTACAAGCCAGAGTTTTTCAGTTGTTCCTTCTAATATTAGTCTAAATGATACACATTTAGAAACCCAAATAAACCGCACCTTTCAACTCCATCTATTATGGGCTATTGCATAGGAGGAATAATTACTGAGATGGAACTGTGCTGCCTTTTCAAGAGCAACACCGGGGCTAGGAGGGAATTAATACCTCCGAAATTCTGAGGAGTTCCTTCCATTCGGTACAGTCAGGCCTCTGAGCTTACAACTCCAGGGGCATGGTCACCGTGGGGACAAGGGGAAGAGCTGCTCCTTGGGGTGGTGCACAGCGTACCTTTTCTGCGATGGTTGTTGGAAGATGTACTCCTGCATGACGAAGGAATGAACCGAGACAGAGGAAGAAAGGGGGAGAAGCAGCAGGAAAGTCAGCACAGCAGAGGGAGAGGGAAATCCTCAGCCTATTGGTGTAGAGACCCCAAGGTGACAGTGAGGTTTAGGAAACAACCAGCCAGATTGAGGCAGGTCAGAGAGAGTTCCAGGGGCCACTTCTTTAAGCAGGTTGTTTTGGGTTGAATGCTAGTTCCCTCCCAAAATTCTTATGTGGAATTCTTAATGGCCAAGACATTACATAACAGAGGTTAAGACGGCAGAAAATAAAAGGAAAGGAAAGGAAAAAGAAATCAGCAAGTTTGGTGAGGACGTGTGGAAATGTGAAATGCACTAGTCACCACACTGAGGCATGTAGCTAGGAAAGCAAAGACTCAGAGAAATCTGTGTGCATTATTATTATCATTATTATTTTTATTTTAAAGAGTAAAAGAAGGACAACATAGCAGTAGGGGGGTTCACCGAATTACAGACAAAGTGGTAGGACATTATCAGTGGTTGTTATTTTACCTATTGGTATCTTGAAGATAGTTTCTCAGGAAAACAAATAGACAAATAATAGTGAGTTACAGACAAAAATGGCAGGAAATTATCAATGGTTGTTATACTATAGCTTGGATTCTCCAAAGTGGTCTCTAGGGAAAACAAATAGAGCTATACATGAGTGATCAATCAAATAATCATTGACTATTCCCAATGGTTGTTGTTGAAAACATACAGTAACAAACATATATCCGTTTACAAAATAGCATAGGAACAATACAAACATTACACAGTTATGGACAGCTTGGTAGGAAATCATCAATGGCTGCTGCAATACATGTTGGCATCCTCAAAGTGGCTTCTCAGGAAAACAAAGATATGCAGGTAAGATCCAACAAGTAGTTACAGCCCAAGGGTTGTGAAAAATAGTGGATTACCTCCTCATCAGTGACTCCCCTTACTGAGGGGTGATGGCTGGAAGGAAGGCCAGTGCTGAAAAGAAGGACCAAGAGACCAGCACCAGTGTCCAGAATGGGCCATCTACTTTTTGCTCTATAGTCATGATTTCACAGGGATCCTCCTTGGAGAAAGCGGTCCAGCCAGAGGGAGAAGGCAGAGTATGCCCTGGGCCCCTTCATTCCTGCCGGACCAGCTGGTAGGAGGGTTCCGAGCCCTGGGCCCCCTGCTCCAGAGGGCAGCCCGACCTCCAGTGGCCACCCCTACAGTCAGGGCATGGCCCAGGGGGCCTCCCAGGGCAGTCCCTCCTGAGGTGGCCTGGCCCCTGACAGTGGCAGCAGACAAATTCTGCGTGCATTATTCACAGAAGCCAAAGGTGGGCGCAATCCAAGGGCTATCCACAGGTGCATGGATAAACAAACTGATGTGTCACGTGATGGCATAATATGAAGACCAGGAAAGGGTCAGGTTCTGACATGCGTGCTTGACATGCATGTGGGCAGCTGGACACACACCTCTCTCCTCTCTGCAGATACCACCACGCGGCTCCTGCTGGGAGCGATTGCAGTCCTGCTGTTTGCCATCTTGGTGGTGATGAGCATCTTGGGTGAGTGTGTAATTCTGGGTCCCAGGTTCGTGTGACCTGTTGGAGGCTCAGCTCATGAGGTACAGAGAAGTTCCTGGTGTCCCTGGAGCTCAGGGGGACACAGCAGGTCTGAGACACAGTGTTACTTGTTGGTGAGATTTTAGCCCCAAAGAATCCATTCATACACAGGGTATCCTTTTGGAAGCAGTGTGGGTGGAGAGGGTACCCAGGTATTATTTCCTAAATGATGTGACAACTCAAGACAAATCTGATGTAGGTCAAGTAGGTGGTGATTCTTGCAGGAGATGGTTTGAGGGCAAGGGACTTTAAATATCACATTATACTCTAGGAGGCTGAGGCAGGAGAATTGCAAGTTCAAGCCCAGCGTGGGCCACTTGGCAACTTGCCAACTTATCAAGACGCTGTCTCACGATGAAAAATAAAATAAAGGAAAGGGCTGTGGATATAGCTTACTATGAAGGCCCTGGGTTCAATCCCCTGTACTGAAAAAAAAAATCACATTAATTGAACGAACATTTATTGAGCCCCGCTGTATGTTAGACCTTGGGCCAACTGCTAGCAATTAAAAAAGGTGAGGGTGAGAGTATCCCCTCTGTCCAGGGATAAGTGCAGTGGTAGAGGGGATGCTGCTTGCACCTTCCCAGAGCAGGAGACACATGCGGTGAACTGTGAGGAATTCACATTAGGAATTTCCCAGAGATGGGGTGGAGAGTGTGTGCGTGCGAATAACCCTGGGGACAGGCAAATGAACTCCACCAACAGATCAGAGGGAAAAAGACAAAATTTTTGTTAATATTTACATTTATGGCAGTTAGCAGAAAAGAAAGGAAACTGGAAGAAGCGGAAGATTTTTCACTTTTTTTAACAGAGGGAAGAGTCTAGGCTTCTTTGATAAGTTGTGGGAATGAAAGAGAACAGGACAGGTGCGGCTGTATGAACAGGGAACTCGGCTACTCTTGGGGGACTCCGGTCAACGAGTGTGGTGGTTCTGCAGGGTTTGCAAAGGGGTTTCAGGGCCTCTGTCTTTACTCTTCGAGAAGCACTGAGACCAAGGGTAGACTTCTCAGAATGGGGAGAAGACCACTGGCAATCAGGCCCGCCATGGCCTCCTCTCTGACTTGTACGATAAGCCCTGGGTTCAGGAGTGTTTAGAACTGGGTATCATGGCCACTGGGCCCAGCTGGACCTCGTTTTTCTTTCACTCTCTGGCTAGGCTGGGTGTCGGCACGGTGTAGACAGAGCCCTCCGTGATTCTGGCGAGGCGCCACCACGTCTCTTGGGAGACTCTCATCCGGGTCTGTCCTCCCAGGGGCCTGCCTCTCACTGACCGGTCTGCCCGGGGCCTGCCCCTAATTAATCGCTGTCCACATGGCTGTAGGTCCCTGGGGAGGACTCTACAGGCCTTTGAGTACCAAGGGTGTGTTCTTGGCTCTACTTCACTCTGCATTTTAATCAATCACTTGTATGAAAACAAACAGACAAACAATGTGCTTATCGAATTTGCAGCAAAGCAATCCACAGACAATTCCATGTGACAAATGGGGGAAAATCAAGATTAAAATTCACCATTAAAAATGGAAGCGCTGAGCAAAGTGAATGAGGTAGATGTGGAAGGTTAAGTAGAAGCAGACTTCAAGGATGAGCGACGCCTGTCCAGGGCCCTGGGACCCGGGCTCGGAAGCAGGTCCTGTCTCCTGCGAGGAGCCCCAGGGCGAGCCTGTTCGCGGCAGTCTGCAGGTGGGAAGGCGGTGCTGTGCTCACAGCGCCGCTGGCGGAGCCCCCGCACATGGCTCTGCGGTTGTCCCGACGGCAGCGTCCCTTGCAAGGAGTGGTGGAGGAGATGGCGTTGGAGTGGCAAGGAGGGAAGCTGGCGTCCCCTTCCCGGAGAGGCAGAGGCCAGAACGGGTCTGCTCTGGTCACAGGAGGTGGGCCTGGCTCACAAGAGGGCGGGCTGGGACTCAGTATTAGCAAGAACTTTCCAGCAGTTCCTGCCCAGTCTGAGTTTCTGGGGTTCCATGCCTGGGAGCTGGGAGAGAGCAGAGAGGAACCCCGAGGCTCACCTGCTGTCCCACCCCCTGGCGGCGACACACCCGCCAGCCTCCCAGTTCCCTTTCGTCACACATTTAGTCCCTGATCCTTTACGTGCGGGCTCTGTGAGCTCCGCAGCATCTCTTTGGGGCAGGTGGAGGGAGGCGCGGGAAGCAGGGCGGGACCCTTGGGGGCCAGGCGGCGGCCAGCTGTGGTGGCGGATGTTGAGCCCCATCTCCTCCCCGCAGCCTCCAAGGGCTGTATCAAGTGTGAGGCGCCCTGCCCGGAGGACTGGCTGCTCTACGGAAGGAAGTGCTACTTCTTTTCTGAGGAACCGAGAGACTGGAACACGGGCAGACAGTACTGCCACACCCACGAGGCTGCGCTGGCCGTGATCCAGAGCCAGAAGGAGCTGGTGAGGGTGACCCCAGGGCCCCTGGGCTCAGGGAGAGCCACAGGCCGGGCACACCACGTTCCCTGTGACACGTGTCTGGGAGCTATCCCCCCACTGCCTAGCCATAGGTGTGCAGACGGCCCAGGGGTCTGGGCAGGTCCCCCTCCATGCTCAGGGCTGCTGACTGCAGCCCACTCAGCATTATAAAGTGTAAGAGCTACCAATTACGGCCAGGCGAGGTGGCGCATGTCTGTGATCTCAGCACTCCAGGGTTGAGGCTGGAGGACTGCCATGAGTTCGAGACCAGCCTGGGCTCTATAGTGAGCTCCAGGCCAGCCTGCACTACATAGTGAGACCCTGTCTCAAAAAACAAACAAACAAACAAACTTGTAAACTTCAAAAAAAAAAAAAATCAGCGTTTTCTATTGTTCCAACTCAGGACACGCTCTCATTTAATAGCCTGGCCAGTTTTGTCAATAGAAATGTGAAAGAAACAGAATGAACGAAGCTTGGTCAGTGTGGGTTTGAGCCACAGCGTGGCAGGAATCCAGAACAGCAGAGTCTAAAGCCAGCTTCTGTCCGTCTCTGGTACACAGTGTTTCTCTGTCCCTTCTGCAGAGAAAGGGCCAGGAGGACACAGGTAGGACAGCCAATCTGAGTCCTGAGATTTGTCCCGCATAACCCACCCCATGGGAGTCCCCAAGTCTCCTGCTGCTCAGGACGGGCCAGAGCTGCTGAGCTCGAGGGCCTGGCTGTGCAGGCCTCCCGGCCAGTGGGTGTGTATACCACAGCCAGGCCTTGCAGGCTCTTGGGGGTGGCTGTGGGGAGCTCAGAGGGTTCCGTCCCCGGCTCCTCTCTTCCGGTCTCAGGCCACATCACCCTCCCATTCTGTGCGCCCTGGCAGTGACTCTTCCAATCCGGGCTTGGTTGCGTCATGAGCACTGTCCCGACTGCCTTTGACACGGATGCTTTCTTTCCTCTTTGCTTTTGCAGGAATTTATGTTCAAGTTCACAAGGAGGGAGCCCTGGATTGGCCTGCGCAGAGTTGGGGATGAATTCCACTGGGTCAATGGGGACCCGTTTGACCCAGACACGTGAGCTGAGGCTTCGTCCTGTAAAGAAGGCCTGACCCTGGGAGCCGGCTGTGGAGAGAAACGCTCCGTTTTATGCCGCTAGAGATGCTAGCTGGGGGCTGTGGCCGGGGGCCACCCAGGAAAATGGCTTTCGTGCTCTCTGCTCACGCGTGCAGCCTGGCTTGATAGCTCGGCCTCACGCGGCCCTCAGAGCTCGGGGGAAAAGCCCAGGCTCTGCCTATGCCAACTCCATGTGTGCAGCACTCACTCAGGGTGGCTCCTCCACATCCCCTTGGCCGGAAGGGCGGGAAGATAAAGGAAGGGTGTGTCCTAGACGGCCTTGCCCAACTGGCCAAAGCAGGGTCACGTGATCACACCTGGCCCGCGGGAGGGGGGAAATGGAGCCCGCAGTTTGGGCCGCCATGTGCCGCCTAAGTATGGTCACTGTGGAGGAAAGGGGATCCGAGGACGTTGGCCAGACACGTTCTCCGGGCACCCACTTTCCCATGGAGACGGGGAGGCAGTGGTGCTGTCATCTGGGGGCCAGGGTGGCAGCAGGGAGGGGCTGGGGGCAGGTGTGTGGCTGTGACAGTGAGGGTGATGGTGGTGTAGGGCTGTGCTGGCCGTTGATGCTAAGGACACCCGGTAGGATCCTGTAGGGGAACAGAATCTCAGAGGATCGGGCCAGGGGTGCCAGCCCCATGGTGATGACACGGGAGTGTTCCCAAGGCTGAAGCTCTGGGGTCCTTCAAACGCCCTGCTTGTGGGATCCCTGCCGCCAGGGGTCTGAGGTCAGGGTGAACAGACTAGGCACCTTCACAACATACCCGGCCCATGTGTGGTTTCAGGGGGGACGCAGCCCCTGCCGTCCAGTGTACTGGGGTTGTCCGGTGTGCCCCGAGCCTGTGTGTCACCGCTGAGTCTCACATGTACCCGCCCCCAGCGCTGTTGGGAGCCGGGGTGAGAGTGACAGAGCCCGTTCTAAGGCTGGCTGCCTGGGGACTGTGGGGACAGACACAGCGCCCCACAGGGCTACGAGGCATGGTCTGCAGAGCAGCCGGTGCTGCGGGGGGAGGGAGGGCATGCGCAGGTTGGTCCCCGAGCCTGGCACATGAGGCTGCCCTGAGGCGGGGAGAGCCGGGGGTGTTGGGAGGAGACTGGGGCACGGGAGGAGACGGGCAGGCTGTGCCGGAAGCTGCCCCGGGCTGGCTGTCCTGGGAGGTGCCGTGGTGCTGGCACAGGACGCAGGGCCTCTTGGGGAACCGTGATGGCTGAACGGGCCAGTCCCGAGCTCCTGGTCTCTTCTCTCCCGGTCACAGATTCGCCATCTCGGGCCCAGGCGAGTGTGTCTTCGTGGAGCCCACCCGGCTGGTGTCGACGGAGTGTCTGATGACCCGGCCCTGGGTGTGCAGCAAGATGGCCTACACGTGACAGGGACAGGCCAGAGGTGGGCAGAGGTTCTGCTCCGAGCCCAGCCTGCAGCACAGCCGCCTGCCCTCTGCGGGGGGAAGAGCTGGGGAGGACCTGTCCCTGTCCTGTCCCCTCTCAGGCTCCAGAGCTCCTGGGTCCCTGGTTCCTGCTCCCTCTGTCCCCAGGCAGGTCCTGCGGCTCAGCATTTGAATCCCATATGCTAGTAGTGTGGTCACCTTTTCCCGTCACGCAGGCACACACACACACACACACACACACACACACACACACGCACACACACACAAGCACACACGCACAGGCCCTTCCCAGAAGTGTCCCTCAGCCGCCCCTGGCCCTTCCCCAGCCCCGCCTGGAACCTTCCCTGCTCGCTGCGGCCCTGGTGCCGTGGGGAAGGCTGGTAGCTGCCGGGTGTCCCACTGTCACCAGTCGTGGGCTCCGCAGGCCCGCCCCTCTCCAGAGTGCGGGGGCGGCAGGCTGGCAGGTGTCCCTCACCTCGGCCAGCCCCGCCCAAGGCCTGGAGGCCCCGTGCCCACCCTCTTTGCCTTCCTGGGGTCCCCGGCCAGGGCCCCCCGCTGTGTCCGTGGTGCTGTTGTATCGGTCACTAACGGAATAAAGAGATGACTGGCGTCAGAGAAGCTGCTGCAGTCTGTTCCGGGGTCACAGCTGGCGGGGTCTCCACAGACATGCGCTTGCTTTGGCTTCTCAGGCGGTGATGTGCAGGGGCCAAGGGTGGAAAAACAAAAGACCACGTGTGGTAGCCCGGGGCCTTAGTTGATCTGCACAGGCTGTGAAGTTACTGCCTGAGGGGCAGGTGCCTTTCTGGCTCCGGCGTTACTGTGTAATGCAACATGGTAAATGTTTCCCCCCAGCTGCTGTGTGCCAGACACCATGTCAATCATGGGTGACCCTACAGAAAGCACTAGAACATTCTAGAACACTGTGGAAGTTGGCTTATTCTGCCTTGGGGAGGATGGGGTGACATGGGGGCCTGGGGAAGAGCTTACAAGGTCTGCCGCCTCTTCCTATCCCTCTGGTTGGTCTGGAGAGGCCCTGAGAGCCCCCCTTGCGGCCCCTCAGTGTGTGGCAGTAGAGCCTGGGCCTCTGAGGCAGCCCCTCCTGGTGGGCCAGGCGGTGAGGAAACCCTGCATGCATTGGGCACTGGCTCATTTTCAGGAACGAGTGCAGGGGGGAGCCAGGTCGTTTACTGAGCCCAAGCTGTCAGATAACACTGCCAGCTTGGCTCGGTTGACTCTTCTGCATGCTTTCCAGAGAGCTCATCGAGTGGGGTTTGTCTGTGGCTTCTTATCTGTCTCCTTCTGGAAAGCCAGTGCACAATAAAATGTTAAGAGAATTTGGGGGCCCCCCACCCCCAGCATGTGTTGGGGAGCACGGCCAGGGGCCCAGGTGGAGGAAGTGGTCAGTGCTGTCGTGTCATGTCCAAGCCCACATCACAATGGGGTCCTACCTCAAGAGTGGGGTTTAGACGGCATTGGTGGTTCACACCTATAATCCTGGCTCTCTGGGAAGCTGAGGCAAGAGGGCTCCAAGTTTGCACCTAGCCAGGCAACTTAGCAAGAGCCTGTCTCAAAAAATTAAAAAATAGGCTAGGGATGTTGCTCAGTACAGAGACCCCAGGTTCAGTCCCCAGTACTGCAAAATAAAGTAATAAAATCAAATAAAATGGCTGAAGATGTAGCTCCATGCGAAGGCCCTGGGTTCAGTCCCCAGTACCACAGAAGTGGGGCTAAGATCTTCGGCGCTGTTTTCCAGCAGAAACGGCCGCGGGCACAGCACCTTGGGCAACGGGCAGTGAAGAGGACAGAAGTCGGCGCTCTGCCCTCTTTCTGTCTGGAGGTGGTGGGGGACAGGGGACCCTTCGGGAGGACAGGGAACTCAGGTCCCTTGCCCCTTATTTCTTATTAAGTACCCGAAGCTTGCTGCTTGAGGCTTAAGGCCCTTGCTGTACCCGCAGCTGCCAGAGGGGGGCAGCACTGAGGACAGACCCAGAAGAGGGTCCCTGGGGCCAGGAGTGTCGCCCAGGCCTCCTCCCAGCCCCATGCAAGGGGAGGTGCGCTTCCTGAGGACTTGTTGGCGTGGTTTGGCGCCGCCCTAGTGGTCAACCAGTGTTTTGCTGCTCCCAACCCCTAGGTTCATTCTAAGGGGAGGAAAAGACACAACGGTCCGGAGTTTGCTTCCCAGCACAAAGCTGGAGCTGCAGATGCCGGGATCTGAACTCAGTCCCCCCAACAGGGCCCTTGGGAGCTTACTTGTGCGGCACACGTGTCCTGCCCAGCTGGCCAGCTGTGAGGAGGGAGAGGGGAGGAAGAGCATTCTGACCTTCCTTGCACGTTTTCTTGTGCAAGACAGTCATGTTACCTGGCAGTTCGTTTCTAAAAAGTGGCTCGCCAACCAAACGCCACCTGGCTCTGGGTTTCTCGACTCTCCTTTTGGAGATGGATTCTAGGTTCTTCTTGTCCCGAACAAAGAATTGACCAAGATGAGCAAAAAGCAGCAGCAAAGTTAATTTAAGAAAGTGAAAATAAAGAGTGGGAGAGAAATTGGAGCGAGCTTGGACCAAGTAAATTAAAAAAGAGGGTGTGAGAGAGCAGAGATAACAGTACACCCTGCATCTGGGACACACAGCACGGGCTATTGTAGAAGGTAATCATGGCAAAGCCTTCCTGCCCCGGGTATGTCTTTTATGCAGTCCAAGGAACTCCAAGAGAACCCGAGAGAACTTCTGTATTGGGGATCCCAGGGCTCCCTTGGGCGTCGGGCCAGTCTACTGAGAACCTGGTCCAGTTCTCAGGGGCAGTCCCTGTGCAGGGCTTTGGGAGCTGTTCTGCACATGCCTTTTGTAACTTACGGGTCATTCCCTCTTCTCCAGCCAGCTTTGCGTTTCCCTAATCTCCTGACTCAGTCACACACAACTTCTGCCCTTAGCTTCCTCCAGGCTCCTGAGGACCTTCACAGCCCTCATTACCAGCACCTCTCACACTTGAAACAGGGCCTCTCGTGGCCTGGGCCTGTGTGGCCTTATCCTCTTCTGCTCGTGCCCGGTGGCGCTCCTGTCCCCTGGGAGGCAGCGGCTGTGTTGTGGCACTTTGCCTGCACAGTGGACACTTGGCATTGCTGACCCTCTTGCCCACGGTGTCATGGCACTCTCCACTTGGAGGTGCCCGTGGGAGCCCTGAGATGCCGCTGCCGAGTTCTTAAATCCCCAGAACCATGACCCACATACACCTCTGTACAAATTGCCCAGCCTCAGGTGTTTTACTACAGCAGCAAAAGATGAAGATATCCTGCCTCTTGGAAGTCCTGTGCAGAGCAGCATATGGGTGATGAGGATCCATCCTCGGGCCAGCTGAAGGGTCATTTCCATTTATTTATTTAGTTTTTCTTTTTGTCTTTCGAGACAAGGTTTCACTATGCCATTCACACTGGCCTTGAATTTACTTTGTAGCCCGGCTGGCCTTGAATTCTCATCGATCCTCCTGCCTCAGCCTCCCGAGTGCTGGGATTACAGATGTGTGCCACCACGCCTGGCTGGGTCATTTCCATTTAAAGCTTTCTGTTCGCTGTCACCAAGTTTCCACTCAGCAGCCCCCAAAGCAAAAGTGCCTAAATCTTTTCTTGCTTAGGAAGGGCTTCTTTGTATCCGTATTTCTCTGATGGATTTTGAGAAGTATGACTTTTATAATTTTTCTTACTGTTACAATAGGATCAAAAAATCTTCTGCCACTTTCCACAGCTACCTCTGGGCTGGAAACCTTCTGAACACTCTTCTGAACTTTAAGAACAAATTGGCTATTTCCCAGCCTAGAACCTAATTGGTCAGGGACGGGATCACTACAAAGTAACTCCCATTTAGAAGCCACTGGCTTAGAGCAGTTCTGCAGTCCTCCTGTGTGGCGCTCTGCAGTCCCTGGCTTTGGAAGCAGGTGAGGCATCTCCCTGGTAGTCTCTGACTCTCCTCACTCGGGGTGGGGGGAATCTCCCTGCCCCTTCACGGGCTTACATGTCAGCCACCTCCTGGAGCCGTGTCCCCGAGCCCGGGTCCTCGATGGCCCGTCGGGGGCTCCCCGGCTGCCTGCCTTGCACAGTGCTGAGGCATCTGCAGCCTGTGAGCTCAGAATAGCAGACAGGAAGAAGCAGGCTCTGCACTGCTCTGCTGCAAACCTGAGGTGTCCGTGGCTGTACAGAAACTGCGTACTTCTGGTCTCTTTGCACCCTATGCAAGTTATTTTCTAGACTAGATTCTCAAGGTTGTCTTCTTTTTTTATGATGCCGTGTCTCTCTCTTGGCCTAGTGGCAGCTGCCTTGCAGGCGTTGGACGCAGTAGGTAGGCAGCCCCAGCCCCAGCCCCAGTCTTCTCTGCTCCAGGCTGAGTTCATTTATTCTGTGGAGTTTTATTAGATTTTATTGTTTGAGCCAGTGGGCCAGTCTTTTTTTGGGGTGGGTTGGGGTGGAGTGGGGTAGTACTGGGGATTGAAGCCAGGGCCTTTGCATTGAACTACATCCCTAG